AAAAAAGCAAGTATATGAATATACATGCATACATATATTTTTATTTAAAAAAATAAAAAAAATTAGAAAACAAATCAATAACATTGAAATCTGGAAATCAATACAGAAAAATCAATGAAACTAAAAGGTGATTTTTTTAAAAAGATCAATAAAATTAATAAGCCTCTAGCCAGGCTAAGGAAAAACAGAGAGCATGCAATTTACTAATATCGGAAATAAAACATGGAATATCACTACTGAGCCTATGGACATAGGAAAATGGAGCAATTCCTTGGAAGAAACAATTTGCCAAAACTCACACAAGAACAAATAGACTATTTGTATAGGCCTATATCTACTAGAGAAATTGAATCAATTACTAATAACCTTTCAAAATGAAAGTACCAAGCCGAGAAATGTTCATTGGTGAATTCTACCAAATGTTTAAAGAAGACATTATACTAGTTCTCTACAATCTTTTTCAGAAGATAGAAGCAGAGGAAACACTTATCTCATTCTAAAATGCTAGACTTACGTTAATAGCAAAACAAGACAAAGACATTAGGAGAACAGGAAACTACAGAACAATATCACTAATGAACATGGATGTAAAATACCACCCAAAATATGAGCAAATCAAATCCAACAATGTATAAAAATAATTATATACCATGACCAAGTGGGATTTATCCCAGGTATGCAAGGTTGGTTCATCATTCAAAAATCACTTAATGTGAGCCATCACATCAATAGTCTAAAGAAGAGAAAATCACATGATTATATCAATAAATACAAAAAACAAAATCCAACACCCATTCACGATTAAAAACTCTGAGTAAACTAGGAGTAACGGAACTTCCTTAACTCGAAAAATATCTACGAAAGAATGACTGCTAACATTATACTTAATGGTGTGAAACTAAAAGTTTTCTCACTAAAATCAGGTACAAGACAAGGATATCCCTTCCTACCGGTCCTTTTCAACATGATACTGGAAGTCCTAGCTAATGCAATAAGATAATAAAAAAAGTAAAAGGCATGTAGATTGGGAAGAAAAAAATAAAAATGTTTTTGTTCACAGATGACATGATCATTTATGTAGAAAATCCAAAAAGATCAACAGAGAACCTCCTGTAACTAATAAACAATTATAGCAAGGTTGTAGTATACAAAATTAATATACAAAAGTCAATCATTCTCCTGTATACCAGCAATGAACAAGTAGAATTTGAAATTAAAAATAATACTTTTTATATTGACATCCCCCCAAATAAAATATTTATGTAAAATCTAACAAAATATGTACCAGATCTATATGAGGAAAACTATAAAACTCTGGTGAATGAAATTGAAGAACTACATAAATACAGAGATAGTCCATATTTATGAATAAGAACACTCAATACTGCCAAATTGTCAGTTCTTCCCAACCTCATCTGTAGATTCAATGCAATTCCAGTCAAAATCCCAACAAATTATTTGTGGATATCAACAAACTGATTCTAAAGATTATATGAAGAAACAAAAGACCCAGAATAGCTAACACAATATTAAAAATCAAAGTTGGAAGACTTCCCAACTTCATAATTTATTATAATACTACAGTAATCAAGTCAGTGTGGTATTGGCAAAATAATAGGTAAATGGAAAGAATAGAGAGCCCCGAAATAAATTTAGTCAACTGATATCTGACAAAAGCGCAAAAGCTATTCAATGAAGCAAAGATAGTTCTTTCAATAAGTGATGCTGGAACAACTGAATATCCACATACAAAAAAAAAAAAAAAGAATCTAGACACAGACCTTACACTCTTCATAAAAAGTAACTCAAAATGGATCACAGACCTAAATGTAAAGGCAAGTCACAAAACTACTAGAAAAAAACATAGGAGAAAATCTAGATGATCTTGGATATAGAGATAACTTTTTAGACAAAACACCAAAGGCACAATCCATGAAGGAAAGAATTGATAAGCTGGACTTTATTAGAGTTAAATTTTATGCTCTGTGAAGATAATGTTAAAAGAATGAGAAGATCAGCCACAGACTAGGAGAAAATATTTACAAAAGACACATCTGATAAAGGCCTGTCATCTAAAACACTCAAAGAACTCATAAAACTCAATGTTAAGAAATAACAACCCAATTAACAAATGGGCAAAAGACCTTAACAGACACTTCATCAAAGATACATAGATGGCAAATAAACATATGAAAAGATACTCTACATCATATGTCATTAGGGAAATGCAAATTAAAACAACAATAAGATACCACAGCACACTATTAGAATGGCTAAAATGTGGAACACTGACAACACTAAATGCTAACAAGGATGTGGAACAACAGAAATGCTCATTCATTTCTGACAGGAATGAAAAATGGTACAGCTACTTTGGAAAAGAGTTTGGCAATCTCTTACAAAACTCAACATATTCTTATCATATGATCCAGCAATTGGGCTTCTTGGTATTTACCCAAAGTAGTTGAAAATTATATCTACACAAAAACCTGCACATGGATGTTTATAACAGCTTTATTCATAACTGCTAAAACTTGGAAGTAACCAAAATGTTCTTCAGTAGAGGAATGTATAAATAAACCATGATACATCTAGACAGTGGCATATTATTTGGTGCTAAAAAAAAAAATTGAGCTATCAAGCCATGAAAAGACTTGGAGGAAATGTAAATACATATTAGTAACTGAAAGAAACCAAACTGAAAAGGCTGCATACTGTATGATTCCAACTATATGACATTCTGGGAAAGGCAAAACTATGGAAGCAATAAAACACCAGTATTGCCAGGTACTGGGGGTAGCGGGAAGGGAGAAATAGGAGCACAGGGGTTTTTCAGGCATTGAAAATATTCTGTATGATACTATAATGATAGATACATGTCAGTATATATTTGTCCACACCCATAGAATGTTAGCACCGTAAGTGAAATGTAATGTAAACTACTGACTTTGTCTGATAAATGGTGTGCAATGCAGGTTTCATCAATTGTAACAAATGTACCACTATGGTGGGTGATGTTTATTAGGTGAGGCTGTGGGTATGTGGGATAGGGAGTATGTGGGAAATCTCTGTATTTTATCCTCAATTTTGCTATAATTTTTTGTGTTCTAAGAAAACTGTCAATAAAAAAATAATAATAAATAAGTAAAAGAATAAGCTATAAAGTAAAAAAATGAGCTACCTGTTGTGAGGAAATAGGTAAAAAGGGAGAAAAAATAAATACTAGATTTCTTTAAATAAATTTGATGTTGGAACCAGGTAAATATTTTATATAATTATAAAATAATATTACAGTTTTAAAAGCAATTCCTAAACAAAAAAAAAAGAAGTAAAATGAGTTAAATAAACTTGTGTATCTTGTGGGTGACAAAACAGCCAGAGAGGAACTGTTCCAAGTGACTTTAAATCTGTAATTTGACTGAACATCCCTAATGGAATCTACTCTACGGACAAAAGGGGCTACAAACAAATCTGAAACTGTTTTCAGTAATTATGTTGTGGCTGCAGTATTGTATTTGTGATTATGAGACTGTCATATGTATATGGGATGAATTGAGTGAATATTTATTTTGGTATCATTGAGAACTAAGATTTCTCAGTGCAGTTGAAGGGAAATACAGATGTAAGATCAATGAAAATAAGTAAAAACAAAACAAAACAAAACAAATCTGGAGAGCTGAATTGAACAGAGAGTATCAGTATAAATTCATGATGACTTTTATCTTAAAATTTTTTTTCCCAGTTCTTCCCACTGAAAAGGCCTAGAAACAATGATTAATCCAATTGCAATGAGCACCGTGAGTGCCCAGATTGTGGCTCTAAAAATAATTGCGTACTGAAAAGAACCAGGACTTTTTGGGAGAAATGGCTGATTCCAGGTATGTAATATGAACTGTGCAATATGAACCTGAAATACTTTTTTATACTAGAAAGCAAAGAAGCTTCAAAGACTAAGTTTATGTAAAAAAAGGTTAAAATAGAGGGAAAGAACCAAGCACTTTTTATTCCTGTCTTACATAAAGGGAAGTTTCTGTTATTAGAACTAAACCAGCAAATAAAGAATGAATGATAGAATCAGAATATTACTATTGTGAAATTCTTGATTAGTTTATGAATCTAGGAAATGGTTCTCAGTGGCTGATAACATCCCTAACTGAGAGACAATTATATAGTATCTACTCCGTGATAGAAGTACCCAGTACCACACATGAAGTAGTATTACAAAAAAAGAACGAAAAACAAAACAAAACAAAATAAAACTACCCCGAATCTGATCAAATCTGTAGCTCTAGCCACTGCTTTATAGGAAACAGGGGGAAAGAGAAAGAAACATGTTAAACAACACCACAGGAATGTAATCTTAAAATTTAGATGTGGGAAACTTCTGTAGGATAAATGATTCTCATAACAGAAAAAAAATGCAAGAAAATAATCTTGAGACATATCAACTGATTGTAATGTGGGAGTTATTTGAGTACTGATTTAAACAAACTTGAAACAAAAGACAATTGTGAAATGTGAAAATTGAAAATTTGATGATATTAAGGAATTATTATGATGATTATTTTAAGGTGTGATAATTACATTGCTTTAAAGGAGTCTTTATCCTTTAAAGATTCATATTAAAATATTTATTTTAGATAAGAACAATGATGAGTTAGGTATTTCTCTTGGTCAAATGGTCATTTTCTCAACTCTAAAATATATTTTAAGCATATTTTCCTCAGTGAATGTTGAATGACCTATGTCATTAATAGCTAATTTTTTATGTGTGTGTTTGTATCATAAAAGATCTTGGATTCCAGGGAAAAATGTGTTTCCAACTCATCTTGGAACAATCGTGTTAGCCAGAGAATCTCTGCACAATACAGATCTTATAAACTTGAGAAAAATTTGTCAGAAACATTAAATGTAGAATCCTCACTGCCTCAAAACCCAGAATTTTCCTTAAATAATAGCAATTCAAAGGGACTGGAAAATCAATCCCTGATCGAACTTACCTGTCTCCCATTTGCATGTAAACTTCCTTTCTTGCAGATTTTCATTGGCCCAATAAGCCCAGTGAATATATCTTTGGTGGGATCCACAGCAGAATAATACATCTTAGATAGACAGACAGGGTCTTTATAAGTGGGTCCAACTTCTTTGGGGATAGTCCATTCATAGGTGAATGTTTCTTTGGGTGCCACATGGGAGGCTGAAGGAGAAGGCACACCTGTGAGAAAGATCACATTGGTGAGGTTAAGTATACTTTCTAATATAGTGATTTGAGCCACAAGGTAGACTGGGTTTAGTCTAGAATAACCTACTTCTGAGCATTAAAGTGGAATTCTGTTTGAATGGAAGCCTACTTGTGCTCCTGTGTCAGATCACTGATGGGTGTGATTTCCTTTAAGCCTCTGTCTGAGATTGGTGCCTACTACGGTCTGAATGTTTGTGTCCCCTCACTCTCAGATTCAAATAATTGGAATCCTAATGCCCAATGTGATGGAGTTAGCAGGTGGGGCTTTTGGGAGATGATTAGGTAATGAGGGTGGAGCCCTCCTGAATGGTATTAGTCCCTTAAAAAAGAGACCCTGCAGAGCTCCCTAGCCCCTTTCACCAGGTGGGGATACAAAAAGAAGTCTGAGACCCAGAAGAAGGCCCTCACCCGACCATGCTGGCACCCTGATCTTGGACTTCCAACCTCCAAAACTGTGAAAAATAAATTTCTGTTGTTTACAAGCCATCCAGTCTGTGGTATTTAGTTATAGCAGCCTGAATGGATTTAGTGCCCCTCTATGTGCTCTCACAGCCCCTGAGAATGTTCCTAGCACCTTTCATGTTATATTGCGTGTATCTCTCTTCCAAACAGAACTTAACCTCCCTGAAAGCAAGCATTGACTATATTTCCATCAGTTAGAACAATACCTGGAAATAGGGGGTAATCAATGCGTTTTCTACTGCAGACAACTGAAATGAAAATAGTTTTAGAACTGAAAGGAAACTTACAGATGATCCTGTTCAAATCTCCCAATTTTACATCTGAGGAAACTGAGTCCAGAAAGACTAAATAACTTGACCATGGTCACATTGCAAGTGGTGACAAAGCCACTAGTCTTCACTGGATAGCCTTAAGTACAGCCTTAAATACACTGGTCATACCTAAATACATTTATATAATAGAATATTTTTTATCACTAAAATTAGATTTATAAAATGCTTATAATGCTAAGAAAACAAAATGGTTCCAAAATTAGAATATGATTATATACTATGACTTCAACCACATTTAAAATATACATTATATGTACAAAGATGAAAGAGTGGAGGAATCACATAAAATATAATAGTAGTTGTCTATAGAACTATGGGTAATATTTTAGCTATACCTTTTTATATTTTCCAAATATTCTAAAATGAGCATCTACTTATTTTTTCAGAACATTTTCAAATTTAAAAATTACCCAAATAGTACTCTAGAAATGTATAAGTGATATGATCCAAATAAGTTACTACAAGCAGTGGCAATAATGATGCAAAAAAGGCAAGACGAATCAACTGGAAATGACAGAAGAGATTCACTTCCTTCTGGGCATGTTGTCTATGAATTGGGTAGATAAGCAGTTTCCTCAAAAGTTTCTGCCTTCAGTTTTGCAGGACAGTTTTCCTGAGGTAAGTGGCACAGTAGGTTATTAAACACTGCTAACTGGTTACAGAGTACTGTACTCACTTCCACTCTGAGAGCTGTAATGTGAGGAGTAGTATGTGCCCTCGTTGCTCTTATTGACTCTCACCCCAGTGGGCTCAATACTGAGGGGATATGCTGCTTTGTTATGGAAAGTGACTCTGATGGTGTCTCCCACTTCTGCCCAAATGACAGGACCTAGAGACAAAGAGAAAATTATTACCCTCTCTTGGTATATCACATACAGAATACATAAGACAGTTATTTTCTTGGGAGTGTCCTCTGGCAAGAACCACTGTGAGCAACATGCTTATCTGTAGTGAGTAGAAAGCTGGATTGTTAAAAGTCCATTCGTAATTTGACATGGTGACACTAGAAAGAGATAAGGAGGGCTTTTTAATTCAACCTCAGATTCATGAAATTTGTTGTCATTTTTGCCCAAGTCTATTCACAACCTTTATACATCTACGAAAAAACTATTCAGAGTATCTATGCTCTCTTCAACTCAGTCTTCTGTTGCCTAGATGTATGTTATTTATCCCAAGAGTCAGAGGAGGGCTATAAGCCTTGACCACCCAAAAGGGGTAAATTAAATTGTCTTGGATGTGAAGAGTAATACTGTTGTGGATTTTCCATCACCACAATTAATATTATCACCAAATATAGAATGAAAACATAGACATATAGTACATAATTATTTTAGGTAGTAGTATTTATTTTAAAATACTATTGATTGAGTTTCCTATGTGCTCTTCTGAGGGTTTATGTGAATTAATTCATTTAATCCTTACAACAAACTTATAAGGTAAGGACTATTGTGTTATTGTTTCCATTTTATAGAAAGAGAGCGGGCACAGAAAATTGAGTACTGTCGAAGGTCACACAGCTAATAGGTGAAGAGTGAGGACAGTGTGAATCCACCTACTTTGCTATTCTGCCTGAGTGCCTGAGCAAAACAGGTTTCTGGGTTCTGCCTGAGGGCAGCCTGCAGAAGGCTTGGAGACAAACCCAGCCTTCTCATCAGTAGCCTAGAGTTTATTTCTAAGGGAATGTATCTTTAGCTAAGAGCAGAAATAGGAAACACCTTCATTTTCTATTTAAACAACATGACATAAACTCGCAATTCCTCTTACCTCTTAGAAGAGGGGAAAAAAATCATCATTTGAAGTCAGCATGGTGTTTAATGATGAAGGTTTACTACTGGTAACTTACATTTGGATAAGTAATTAGCTGCTGCATTCTACTGATGATTGATCTTTCCATCCCTAGTTTATTCATAGAAGTCACACAGCAGGCCTTGGAATTGTCCGTTCTTTCTGAATAGAAATTCCCCTGGTATGGCCAGGGGAAGAGAGCAGTGGCCACACATACTCTGCAATGGACTCACCCAGAATGCCAAGATGCTCCTCTTCAGGGCCTCTCTCCTTTTGATTTGTGAAGGATGCATCTGTATACTCACGATAAACCAGTTTTTTATAAGAGCCTCCAATTCTTGTACGACCGTGTTCAAAAAATACCTCTGAAGCACTACCGAAAGAAAAAATGTTTGTCAGCTCTAACTGAAAAATAAAAATAAAAAAAATAATTTAACACTGGTGCTGAAAGCAGAACAGAAAGCAGGTATTCACATACGATACTATTTGAAGAAAAAAATTCTGACCAATGCTTAGAGATAATTACCCATGATTTACCAAACACTCAGACAGAAGCAGGCAGTCCTAGGCCACCCCATAGAAGGAGTAGAGAATCATGGCATAGAAGTTTCACTTTTTCAAGTGAAGTAAAACAAAATTCAAGAGGGCCCATGACAACCCATGACAGTTAATAAAGTGTTCTAAAATGGAATCTTTTAACAAATTATGAAATGTTTAAAAATAAACCCTTATTACTACTTATTGCATATTAGCACCAGCCAGATGCTCAGAGCTTTTATTATCTGAAACTCACGTAACGCATCAAAGTTAGTAATATTCTCCCTATTTTGCAAATGAAGAAATTCAATCTTAGAAGCCATTTGACTTCACAAAACTACCCCATTTATCTCTTTTTGCATTTGACAAAGGTATTGAACACCTGCTCTTTGCCAAGAACTCTGCCATGTGCTGATGACATAACCATAAGCAAGCTGGACCCATCACTGTCCACAGGAACCTTATATCTGTCAGAGAAGACAGACTATGAATCAATCAATATAATAACACATAATAAGCGCAAGGTGTATGGAGCATCTCTCCTGGAGGTGTGAAAAGATGTGGGAATTAGTATCTAGAAGAGAAGTAGAATTAAAAAAATAAAGTGTGTGGTAGGGAGAATGGGGCAGGTGTTTACAAACAGAAAACAGCCTGAGGGAAGGCTCAAAGGAGAGAACAAGCATGGCATGTTCTATACGGTATGACACCAGGGCAGAGTTGTAGAAAATGAAAGAGGAACAGGAAGACCTAATTAAGGTTTAATTCTGCATCCCAGGGCAGTGGGAATGCTTTGAAAGATTTAATCATTTAGGATTCATGTTTTAGTAGGATCCCTTGAGCTGCTGTCTGGAGAATGCGTTAGAATATGCAAGACTGCTGGAGGGAGACCAGCCAGGAGGCAGCTTCAAAACCTCAATGAGAGGTAATGATGTCTTAAGAGGTATTGGTAAGATGATAAATGGAAATAGCATGACAGCTTTCAGAGATCTATAGGATATAATGAGGCAGTACTTGAGAGGAGAGAGGAGAGACTGGTGAAGAAGGGAGGGAGTCAAGGATGGTGCTCAGGTTTTGGGTTCAATGGATAGATGGATGGTGGTATTATTCACAGAGAGGAGGAAATTCAGATTTGTGGGGAAAATAATGAGTTCAGGTTTGTACATATTGATTTGGAGGAGCCACATCCAAATGGGGTGTCCATTCAGTAATTCGAAAGGCAAATCTGCGATTTATAAGAGCCTTCTGGGTGGGAGATGCAGTTTTGGGAGTCAATTCATCTTGGTATCAGTGTAGCCTGAGACTTAAATCTCTGCTTTAAGAGTCATAGACCTGAGTAGACCCAGACCCAGCTATTGACTTGTATGTTGTTGAGTAAATTATTTAATTTTCTGAAGTAGTTAGATGGCAAACAAAGTTTCTCTGTGGAGGTGATGTTTAAAGAGAGACTTGGAGCAGGGAGATGGCATAGTCTACTGATATTTTTGGAAGATCATAATGGACAGTAGGAAAGGAAGACTGAGGCCAGAAGAATGGCTGGGAGGCTGTACAAGTCATCAGATATATGCAAAGAGTAGCTTTCATGCATCAAAGGACATGATCAAGACTATGACAAATGAACCTACAGAATGGGTGAAAATATCAGCAAAGCATATATATATGATAGAAAGAACCTCTATAACTCAACCACAAAAAACAAAGAACCCAATTCAAAAACGAGCGAAAGATTTGAATAAACAATTCTCCAAATGGCCAAAAAGCACATGAAAAGATGTTCAACATCACTAATCATCAGAGAAATACAAATCAAAACAATGAGATACCACCCATTAGAATAGCTATTACAACAAATAAAATAAAACAAAACAAAATAGAGAAAATTAGTGTTGGCAAGGATGTGGAGAAATTTGAACCCTTTTTTGTTGCTGGCAGTAATATAAAAATAATGCAGCCGCTATGGCAAAAACTATGGCAGTTCCACAAAAAAATTAAAAATAGAATTACCATACGATTCAGCAATTTCACTTTTAAGTATATATCCAAAAGAATTGAAAGCAGGGACCTAAATAGATACTTGTACTCTGATGTTCATAACAGCATTATTCACAACAGCCAAAAGGTATGAACAACTCAAATGTTCATCAACGGATAGATGAATAAATAAAGTGTAGTATGTGTATAAAATGAAATATTATTTAGCATTAAAGAGTAATGAAATTCTGATACATATGACAATATGAATAAACCTTGTAAACATGCTAAGTGAAATAAGCCAGCCAAAAAAGGACAAATATTGTACGATTTCACTTGTATGTGGTGCCTAAATAGGCAAATTCATAAAGACAGAAAGTAGAAGTTAGCAGAGGTTGTGGAATTATTGTGTAGTGGGTACAGAGTTTCTATTTGGAATGATGAGAAGTTTCTAGAAATGGATACTGTGGGTGATTGTACAACCCTGTGAACAGTACTTAATGCTGCTGGATTGTACAATGCTTTGTTTCAGAAATAAGAAACAAATGAATTGATCTAATGGTATTCAGTTTGTTTCCTTAGGATTTTGTTAAACATTTGATAACTTTTAAACCTGTCTTTTTTTAAGGACTCAAAAGTCATGGTTCTCAAACTTGGATACATCCCAAAAACCTTAATAAATAGTGAGCAGTCTAGTTACTCAATTTCAGGTACCAATTAAAATTTTAATTTCTGAGTGAACTTCTTATGATTTTTTTTTTTTTTTTTTTTTAGGGAGAGACATGTTTTGAAATAACTGGATTTTTTTTTTTTTTTTTCTGAATTACCTTTCAGGTGCTGTTAATTTTTCATTGGTGAAGGTGTCAATGCCGGAGGGTGCATAGTTCCAGATGATTTCTTCAGCAGCAATGTAGTAGTGTCTAACGTGTTTCCCACGAATATCATCCTCTGATGAAGGCTTATTACAATCTCGTACCTGGAAAAAAGCCTGCAACCCAGCTGAAAACCACATAGAAAGAGATTTGTTAACAAAGCCAATGTTTTTCTCTCCTGTTGTTTTGTAAATACTGCTGGTGAAATGACAGATGGAAGTTGAAGAAATAGACAGTTTGAAACAATATTGTAAACTAGAGCAAACAATTATAAATTACTGATGGAAAATTCAAGCGGTTTTTTAAACTCTCTGTACAACATAGAGAAGAGATATTAATCTGTAGTGCTTTTAAAAATATAGTACCAGTTTCTGTGGGCTTTCACATGAAAGGTCTTTTGATGAGAAAAAAAAGACATATTAATAGGTAAGCAGAGAGATTTTGCCATATATTAAAAACTAGTGTGGGGTTGAGGAGGAGGAATAGAATGAGCATCTATAATTATTGTTCTCTCACACAAAATGATTGTGTGCCTGTTATACTAGGCCTTCTGTGGCCAAGGTTACATTTGGTAGATGACATTACGTTTGAAGGTCAAAGTAACATATGCAAAGATCTAGATTAAACCAAATTTCTTCCAGAGACCAATATAACAAATTAATATTTTTCAAAACCTAGGAATGTCTTATCACATTATATGAATGAGATGGAGAAGAGATTTATCAATTTAAACCAAGGAATAGCTGGACTCTAAAAATAGGCCAATTTTCAGCACAATATACAAATGTTATAGTGTTTACAATATTGTATATTTTACAAAACTGAGAATCTATATGTTCTATTATACTTTTAAGGCCAATTGTTTTTTCCAAAATTAATATATTTTCAGATTTCATTACTTTATAAATGGTCTAGTCTTTTAGTCTTTTTTTAAATTACATCATGATGTAATAAAAAATCAGCATAAGAATAAGTTTCAGTTACCAGTTCAAAGCTCATATCATTCCACAGATATTTAGCCTTTACATTTTGATTCCCAATAATCACCCCATTTATAGTATAACTGACAAACGACTCTTTTTTTTACTAATTTCAGGTAAAGATATCCTACCTTTCAGATGGTTTAGATTCTGACAACTAAGCATCCATTCTCCAGGGTTCTGGGCCACCATAAAAGCATCAAAAAGGGTAGCGGGAAAGAGATTGATTGTATCAATACGGTAGTTCTTGTTAGTCAGTGTTTGGCCATGGAAGTAAGCTGCGTGCACATCAATTTCATTACCCATACCAAAAATATACCATTTCACTCTGTCCTCTGCACACATGGAGAGTCCTGGGAGACTTCCAAAAGCATAACCATTCACGGCTGTAAGTCAAGAGTAGAGATTACGACTAATAAACATTGGTTCTTGGGATAGCTACTTCTACAGAAATAGGATCAATTTGGGATGAAAAATACCTGGCGCATATGCTGCTATTCATCTGTATCTCATACCCACCTCAGACATTACTAATCAATCACAGCACTCTTTAATTTTGGAGCTATATTTAGCCTCAGGACTTTTGTCAACACAATATTAGCAGATGAACACAATACTGAAGATGAAACCTATCTGTTCTTTTTGTGATACATCATACACATTGGTCTGTATGTGTGTGTATTTGTAAATATAAATCTGTGCATGTGTATAAAACACACATATATAATGAATAGAAAAAGACTAAAAGTTATTTAGTAATTCGTTGTTAATTATGGTAGTATGGATAATTTCAATATTTTCTTTTTGCTTATCAGAATTTTTTTAATTTTCTACAGTGAATATGAATTGCTTTTGTAATTTAAAAAAAGGCAATTAAAAAAAAAAGATTGGAAGATAAAATTAGAGGAGATATGGAGAAAAGAAGAAATGCAGGGGAAGAACAATAGGGACCAGAGACCAGAGCTACAAAGACCTAAAAGTTCAAAAGCAGGTGGCTTCAGACCCTTCAAAGATATTTAAGGTCTCTGCTCAAACTCAGTGGTCCTAGTCATAAAGTGGAAATTGGTTCTGAGAAGCGCTATGTAAGCACCAGAGGCAACCAAGGTACTGTTAGGTAGTTAAGTAGTCATGAATGTCAGGAACAAAGGCCCAGCTCTGAAACCATAGAAAACTCCCTGAAGGACCTCCCAGAAACACTCATTTTATGATTATGAATTACACCTACATCCTAAGGCACAAAGGCTGTAAAAGCTGCTAGCTTAAACCAGTCACAAATGTGTGTGCAGAAAGTACTACCCTAACCTCTTGTAACCTCAGCCTCATTGTACTATCATGTACTATCATTGTACATATGCCTGGAAGTTCATGAATCTAATTATTACATACTGAATTCTAAGTAAGCGCATGTGTACTGAGCAAAAGGTTATATAGCAGCCAACCGTCTGTCAAGGTGACCTCACATGATGATCATCTAGTACCACCCTTGTAAGGTCCCATCACAGCCCAAATATAAACAAACCTTCCCACTTCTGCTCTATTACAGCTCTTCACTGAAACTCATCCCTCCTTTGGAGCATAATCTATCTTTTGTTTTTCACCTCCCAAATTCCACAGGGCTGCCACCTTTCTTGGCATAGCCTGTCTTCTTCTGAAAATGTACTTTCAATAAATCTTATTTTTCCTAAATCTTGCTGACCTGTAATTCTTTACTGAGTCAGCAGAAAAGAAACAAGGACCCCCTCCATGCCGCTGGAGTGACACCAGATTTCACATCACTCCCTGCAGTAACAGTACCAAACCAGAACTATCCACATTGGAATTTTGAGTAACTTTTTCTAACATCAATTTTTGTTGATATATGAAAGAGTCAGGATTAAAGTCTAACATCTATTTTTGATGATATATAACAGAGGCAGGATTAAAGTATGAAAAGAGGATCTTCCAGCCTGAATAAGCAAAAGTTGGGGAAAAGGTCTGTACTTTCTTAATAAGTTTAGTTTTCTGCTTTGATAACACAGTTATTTTTGTATCCTCAGTTCCTTAGTAAAGGTTATTTTGAAGAAGTAAAACACAAGCAAACAAAAATCTATAATTATCAATCTAGCTGGTGTTACTGGATTTAATTTCTTATGGATTTAAGTGATAGAAACTCTTACTAAGTTCATTATTTGATCTCTGAGAATTAAGGAGAAGCCTAGGCAGTAAAGAAAGCATTTCTAGAAAAAAATAAAATGAACTACAATAGAGTAAAAAATAATTCAAAGTGCAGAGGGATAATGTATATCCGAAAGAAATACCTTTTAGAACTATTTTCCTAAATACAGCTTGATGTTTTACGACATAAACATAATTCTAAGCATTTAGTTTAATAATTTTAGGTTGCCTCAAATAATTTTTATAATAAGTTTGGAGGATAAATAAATATAAAAATATACAAATACATCAAACCATAACTGATGATGTTTTATCCTTATTAGTTTGGGAGCAATCTGAATCGGGCTTAGAGTTTTAATCTGACCTGTTTAACTAAATATGAAGTTGTATGTCCAATATGCTTTGTTATCAGAGCCACAGATTATAAACTACTTATTCATATGATGGAATAAACCTAGCAGAATTAAGGGACCAAGAAAAATAAGATAAAGTTAATATGTCTTCGATAATCTTACAATACATCTTGTTACTCTCCTGAAAGTCTTTGTCATCTTTATCAGCTTTCTCTGGTTCAGAGCAGTAGGTTTTAATGTTGTCATCTAGGTACCAGCTGAAATTTTCATCCACCACAGAAAACATCACCACAAATTCTTGGTCAATATTTTTTTCTTTTTCTTCCTCCAGGGAACCTGAAATGAAAAGTACTATTTTAGTTGAACTTAATCTTTAGTAGAACTTAATAATTTTAACATATTATTAATAGTTTTAAAAAATTTTAGTATTTATTGTCCTAATAAACCACAAATCTGGACTAGTCACTCCTGTTTTACAGATGTAGTAATACTTAGGAGTTCTATGTTCAGTATTCTGGGTGTGGCAGACACTCATATATTTGGATATTCACTGACCACATAACTATTAAATACTTTTTGGCAAATGAGAAGGTTGGAATTCAAAGTTGTGTATACATCTTTTGGTGCATATACCACAATCTGAGACAACAAGTCTTTGCAGGTAACTAATGATTGTTCAAGTAAAAATTAGATTTCAAGCTCTTGAGCGATGTTGTCTTTTTCATGATGGAAAATGATGCTATAATATTATATTTACCAACACAAAACAGATAACCACAGATATATCACAATGGACCACCACAAGGAAATCACAATTGATAAAGTCATATACTTTATCTCACTCTTTAACACCACTGTAAAATATGATACAGTAAACCTGTCCTCAAAGAGAGCATATTTCTTGCAGCTTCCTGCCCTGATCTTTCCTTCATTTTTTTTCTAGATTCATTACTTCTCTACCTTATCTACTCAATCACAACACAGAAGACTCAACTTATATGTAAAAAAAAAAAAAAAAAAAAAAAAAAAAAACACAAAAAAGAAACAAAAAAAACTGCCCTGTCTTTTGTCTTTCAGTCATAAATTGGGAGTAATGTACCTTTTTTACAGAATATTAAAGGTCCAATGAGTCCTGAGGCAATATCTCTTGGAGCATCAATGTGGGAGTGGTAAATCCTGGTCACACAATTGCCATCTTCTTCACCAGGACTTTGTTCTTGGCTGGCATGCAATACATATGTATACTGATCACCTGGATATACTTTATCATCTGCTTTATGAAAATCTGTGGTGTTATCAGGGTAGATGGCCCCTAGGAATCAACATGCAATGAAATTGCAATTGAATGTGTTTGAACTTAAATTTAAAAAATAAATGTTTATTAATTAATTCAGTAAATATTTATTCAACATCTAGTATGTGCCCCTTTGAGGATACAGTGATATACTATTTGAACACAGAGGAATGAGCGGTTAATTGCTAGAGGATCTGGAATCTTCGCAGAAAATTTTGTCATTATTTTTCATACTTGACTGAGTCTTCAGGGGGCATTAATAGATATGTCAGGAGCATAGTAACTTTGGGCTTGTAATTTAAAGAACCATTTTTGCCCTGAGATCATGGTATGGAAATATGAACAAAATGGTTCTCCTCTCCTATAATTTGAAACTTTTTATATAATATCAGATTTTTGCCTGTGAAGTAAGCATGGAATTTTTTATCTTTTACTTTTAATTTTGTGAATTTGCAAACATATGCAAATTTGAGAGAATAATGTGATGAACCTCCATGTACCCATCAACCCAACTTTACCAATGACTAACTCAAGACTAATTTTGCTTCGTCTATACCCTACCCACTTTTATCTCCATCACCATCTAATTATTTTAAAGCAAATCCCAGGTATTATATCATTTGGTTTATAAATACTCAAGTATGTATCTCTATGCTATTACATAATTGTTGGGTTCAGAAAAAAGAAACAAAAATATGTGGTTAAAACATTCACCTTTTAAAACGAAAACTCTTTAAAAAAGAAGACAATTAATTAGACTAATTTAAACTTAATTTTCAGACTTGCTCCTTATAATTTTAATGAACTGTATAATGCCCAGTATTTTTGCTTATGATAATAGCTGACATTCATTGAGATATGACTATATACTATCATTGTCCCTATTTTATATATGAGGGAACTAAAGCACAGAGAACTTAAGGAACTTGCCCAGAGTCATTCAAACAGTAAAAGGCAAAATTGTACTGGAAATTTGTTCTATTAATTTTGGAGCCCTTGCACTTAACTACAACAAAACATGGACTCTTTTCATCATCATTATCATCATCAAGTACTAAGAATGAGATAACAGTCACTAAAACTAATCTTTTTTCTTCCTGTACCATCTTTAAGGCTTCTAGGTCCTACATTCAAATGACCTTTTTATTAATTGTGTCTCAGAGGTGATGAGTCATCCACTCACGTGTACCATTTGATTGATGTAAATGAGAGTACCCATGCTACCTTAGCTGGGATAGTTTATCCAAAGTTAAGATGAAAGGTGACAATGGCCACAATATGTTTACATGCAGGAACTTCAAAGATAAGACAACCCTGTCTTGAGTCCTGTTTCTTTCTTCTGAATTTTTGCCTCTTCTGACCTGTGCACACACTATTTATTTTTCTAATTCTGACTATTTGGCTGGAAAGAAGTTGGGCACTGAGAAGAAAGTCCCAGCTCTCACTGCCTGTCACTATATGTGTCCACCCAGAAATCCTATCACAGTCACACTTCACACAAACAAGTGCAACCAAGAAAAACACAGCATTATTAAGATGAAACAGAATACTTATTTATAAAATAGTTTAGAGCTGAACAGCATAGGTCTTATGTGAGAATGGAGTCCATTATCTTAGAACTTAAAAAGGGCTCCTATTGAAAAGAGGAAATTACAGCTAGAGTAGGAGCTAAACTTACCCTCATTTTCCTTATAGTAAGTTATCCCATGTGAATGAAAAGTGTAGGGCCTAGAGGCAAAGTTTTTTAAATGTACATAAACTTTATCTCCAGTTTCTGCTTTGATAATAGGTCCTAAAAACCCCAGCCAGACAGGTTTTTCTACAGTGGTCTCAAAGGTGTCATCTGTATACTGAAGATAAAGGGCCTTCTTGTATAATCTTCCAATTCTATTGGGACCATTTTGAAGATAGATATTGGAATGTTCCCTGAAAAGAAAAAAAAAGACAACTCTATCAGAAGCCATCATTTCTGGGGATAACATTATAATTAAAGAGAAATTAATGACCATATCACATTAAATGTTTGTTTCTTGTTGTAGGGATGCCTCCAAAAAATAAAGAGGAGAGCTTGCACTTAGCCCTGTTAATTTGATTATGTAAGGTGTCTCACATCATGTATGTGGCAGAGAGCCATCTGTAAAGGTACTATAAAAATACTTACAGGAGTATTTTCTACAAGATTTTTATATTAAAACATGAGATACTGAGGAATAGAAGAATAGAATATAAAATTAAAGTGAAATATTAAGATAAAGCAGTTGAAACTTAACACATTTCTCACCTATGGTGTACCTCTTTCAGCTACTGGGAAATTTGAGTTTATAAGCAATCAATCTGGATATTTGAGACATAAAAGTGTGTGTGTATGTGTGTGTGTGTTTTCCTAAATAAAGTCAAATTAAGGATGCTAAACTAATTTTATCATTTTTAGTAGCACTAAATCAAGGTTGGAATTGATGCATGCAATGTGTGTGGGTTTTTAAATTACCTTGGGGTTCAAATTACCCTTGTGTTTTTTTAATCTCTTGCTACCAAGAATATTGAACATTGAATGTTTATATTCTGATTAGTAGCTGATTAAAAGTTGCTTAAACTTCCCTTAAAATATCAGCAAAGTAAACAGTAGCCAGGAAAAAAAAAATAAAGGAAAAGAAAGAAAGTGAGCTTGGTATTCAAACATTTGCAGATTCTTTGTTATTGTCCTTAACAGAAGCCTGGACAGCTTAGTGGGATCTGTGGGTGATGCCATCTAGTGGTTTTGGAGAACCCCCTTAAAATTTGTACTTTGACAAGCCCCTTCACAACCAAGCAACTGAGTTCTCCTCCACTAGAATAAAAAATGCTAACACTCAGGCTGATGATCTAGGGTGTGTGTGTGTGTGTGTGTGTGTGTGTGTGTGTGTGTGTGTGGTGTGTTGCTTACTTTCGTCTCATTGAGGTTTAATGCCTTACCATTCATTTGTCACTCAACTCCCGTGGGGCCCAAATAATCTGATGAAGAAATAAACATCATCTTGTATTCCTTTTTTCAGGACAAGAGTAGGGCTTGTCTGAGAGCTCTGGACTTCCTTTGCTGAAGTTTAGACCTACCTTTTAAAAAACTAGGGCTCTAGCTTACACTTTAAATTTTAATGTGCATGGGAATCTACTGAGGATCACGATAAAATGCAAGTTACTGGGCCCCAGCCCCGCTGGTTATGAGTCTGTGTGTCTGGAGTGGGGTATGGATATTTTAATTTACTAAGAACCCCCACTCCCCTCTAATGCTGTACTGGGCTCCTGGGCAGCCTGCGTAGGGGAGGCTTGGAGGTGAAGGGGAAGAGAGCTGCCCAGTCCCAAAGGCTGTGAGATTCCTGGAGACCGTAAGACAGAAAGGTGGCAGGGTCTGTTTCTAGACCATAGCTGGTAGTGGTCAGGCTTCTACTGGTGTAGTTGCATTGGGGCATCAGATTAAGCCTGCATGCTAGAGCCAAGGGACATAGCCATTTGGCATCAGTCCTGGAGGCTGAGTTTGGATGGCAGGAGCAGTGTTGAAAATAGCAGAGTCATCGTGCTCTGGATAGAGCAGGGGGCTTCAACAATGAGCATTTCGTAGTTTTTACCATATACCAAATACCCCAGTTTTCCTGGATTGTGTAAACCACAGGATTCTCAAATTGTTCATTTAAAAATGAATGAGATGGGGTTCCCTTCCCCCATCCTGATGGGAGGAAGGCCAAGCAGGAAGTTAGAAAAATAAAGAAGTGACATCTTTTGTACCTAGTATGAGGTGGCAAATCCATGCTTATGCCTTTCTTTCTATTTGTTTTCATTTTCTAATTGTTGCAGTTTCCATTTCATTAGAACAAAACAGAAAAAAAAAAATTCAGGAAGGCTCAGAGACTTCAAGGACATGAAAATACATGAAAAAACAGCAGGACAGTGGTGTGAATTCTTTCCCCAAAACTGCAGCTTTAATATGGACGAGAGCAATATTAATGAACAGATGTTTTAACAACAGCAAAATTCTGAGGCACTGAAGATCACTGAGATAAAAGTCTGATTCATTTACTTCACTGATGAAAGGTCAGCAAGAGGACAGTTTCAGTCAGGCACACAGTTGCAGCTGCAGAGCTTAAAGTGCAAAGGTGAAGCCCTCCCTGGTTCCATCAGAAGAAAACCTGAATCAGTCAATCTCACAAGACCCGTCTGAACCCCAGGGTAAATTTTTTCCAGTATCTGTACACACTCCTACTGCTGGCAGATCAGTCCCCATTATATGTAGAGATTCAGATTCTAATCTCTGTTGTACCATGCTCTGTTGATACACATCTTACATAAAGCCAAAGTTTAAAAATAGCTCCCATATTCTTAAGGCTTCATTTGAATACAGGGTGTATTTATATTTTTTGAATGTGACTCTGAAGCACTTAGCACTACTTCATATCTTATTTCAATAGTAGCAGGCTTTGTCAAAATACTTTCATTGTATTGAAATTCTCCTGTATTAATCATATTCTAAAATAGGAGGAGCATTATCTAAGCTTCAGGATTTATTTTTTTGTATACAATAATTTTGGGCAAGTAAAAATTACTTTTAAAATAGTTGATCTGAAGTTATAATATATTCAGGGTTTTTAACATTTGGAATTCCTTTTATATACATAACAGCATGTAAAATATATTTTCCATCTTGTCTTTTTTGGTGAAACAAAATTAAGTCTTAACCAAATTAAGAAATATTTTACATCATGTGATACTTTGGGGGAGGTCTATTTGCTTATGTTCTGTCTCCAAAGGAACATCAAAGGCTCATTAGGGGATGTCTATTTAACTTCAAGAGCACAGCTTGGGGACAAAGGGTCAGTTACTGGAAGCTCGTAGGAAATTTGCCAGTCAGATATTCTGTCAAAAGAATATATTATAGTTGTTCTTTGAACCAAATAATTCATATTAATTGTAGTTCTTCCTGTTGACAATTCTGACATGCTTTTTTTCTGCTTATTAGAGTAGATCTGTCCCCTTCACATCTTTTCTTTTTGGTACTCAGTTCCTGTAGCCAACTCCTATAATTTCTGGTAGATTCAGACCCAAAAGCAAGTTTTTAATTGTAGGGGAATTAAAAAAAAATTATACTGCCTTAGTAACATAATAATAATGTTACCCCATTCCATAAATCCAGAATGTACTCAGTTTATGTTTAGACATGGTTACTAAAATGTGGGTAATATATGAGAAAAGTTTGTGGATTCTTAGTTTCATTAACTGAGACATAATATATTAGTTTTCCATTGCTGCATAACAAATTATCACATAGCATCTTAAAATAACATCCATTTATTATTTCACAGTTCTGTGGGTCAGAAGTCTGGCACAACATGACTGAGTTCTCTGTTCAGGCTACCACAAGATGATGGTTGGGCTGGGTGCTTTTCTGGGCTCTCTGTGGAAAAATCCACTGCCAGACTCATCCTTGTTGTTGGCAGAATTCAGTTCATCATGTTTGTAGGACTGAAATTCCTGTTTCCTTGCTGGCTGTCAGTCAAGGACCTCTCTCCCATTTCCTTAAAGCCACCCGTAAGTCTTCTCAAGTGTCTCCTTCCATCTTCAAGTCAGCAACAGTTTGTTGAATCCTCCTCAAATCTCTTTGAATCTCTCTGACTTCTTCTTTCACTAGAAATTTTTCTGCTTTAGATTAGGCCCACCTAGATCATCTTCCTATTTTACAGTCAATTGTGCCATTGAATATAATGCAAACCATGAGAGTAATATCATATTCTGGAGATTTAGGATAGGACATCTTTGAAGGTCATTTTAAAAATTCTTCCTACTACACATAGGAGTCAAAAGGAAAACTGTCAAAAATTAACTGCTAGGCAAAGACTCAACTTAGGTTTACATAGCACAAGCAAGTAGATTATAAGCCTGGCTTCACTAGCACAGCATGAATAGAGTATCTAGTTGTCAGTCTTCTTTTGGATCTGTTCTCAGAGAAAGTAGCAACTGTGATAATAAATCATAGATCTTGAAAAGTATGAAATGTTATAGCTGCCTTATGAGCTCCTTCACACAGGCATCCTGTATGAAGTGTTTGAATCGTACTAGCTGGTACTTGCTATTTTTATTTGGCAATCTTGGAGTACAAGTCATCATAACTGACTTTTCCATATTATTTTAGCTATAATTGTACCTCTTTAAGAATCATATAAATATTTAAGAGCATTTTCAAAGGGGTAAAATGAATGCCTTCAGTGCAAATTTTTTATTTAAAAAGATTTTGTTTGCTTAAACAGGGGACACTGAAAAAAATTTTCAACTTTTTTTCTGATAATAATAGTAAATGTTAAATTAACATTTGCTGAATACTTTTGGTATTCTGATCACTCCATATCATAATTATAATACTTATCATTATATCATATGGTGAAATATTCTTAGTTTGTTTTTTATTCCTTTGGCCAAAATTTGAGCTGCCATTTCTTCTTGGTCATTGGTTCTGCTTATAATGACATCTTCATTATACCATTTCTGATTCAGTTCTCAAAACTATAATGGGCTGAAAAACTAGGTAACAAAGTAAGAACTGTATGTTAAATAAGAGTCATCAAGTATGAGCAAGAGCCTACAAAGCCAGTGTAAAAGTGTTTTGTTAATGGCTATTCTTGTGCTTAAAGAATTTTTAACTTACTTCTAGCTTCCTATATATAAGTCACCAGGAAAAAAATCAACCTGAAGATAACAAGAGTATTATTTGTTGCTATTATATAGCCAATAAATGCCATAAATAATTAATGCCTATTATAGACCCAGAACACACTGCTCTGTTTACTAATTATTTCTTATATGTATGTCTCTTATTATTATTTAAATACAAATAGTTTAAGAAAAGAAAATTATACTTTATAGAATCTTTATTTTTTGATTTATTGAAGTGACAGATAAGGCACTCACTTTAGTAAATGGCAGTACTAAATATAAGAAAATTACTTTCCATCTCATCCTATTAGAAATAAATATTATTGCTATTAATGCAGGAGGAGTAAATTATTTCTAGTAAGAAAAAATCTATACATTGTTCTCTTTTAATACCTGCTAATGTTTTTAGTTTCACTAAATCTATTTAAACTGACTTCTTTTATTTAATTCTATTGTCTGATTTATTCTAGTGTGAATCTGTCCACATCAGGAGAAAGTGGAAAATTTTTACAACACAGCCTGTAATTTCTTCTAGATTCCTAAATGCCTTTATTCATTCATTTTAATTTATTCACAAATATTTATTTAGTGTCTCCTATGTTCTAGGTATCAGTGACCAAGCAGTAAATGTAACAGATGGAGTTCCTGTTATATGCGTATTTTCTTCTTCATAGTCTCATATCTTCAAGGTAAACATTAGTTTAAACCTAATCCTCTGCTTAATACCTATCTTGCACACTTCCAACCTTGTTTCTCAGCCTATGTATCTCCACTCCTTTTCAGCATTCGAAAGACTAGTACCAATTATATCTGGTGATAATTCCATCATCCTTTGCTGACTGGGTTACTGTTATATGTAAATATATGTCTTCCCCCAAATATGTCTAAATATATGTCTTCCCCCAAATTCAGATATTGAAATCCTAACCTCTAATGTGATGATATTAGGAGATAGGGACTTTGGGTGGTGCTTGGGTAATAGGAAGGAGCCTTCATGAATGGGATTTAAGTACCTTATAAAAGAGGATCCAGATAGATCCTTAGCTTTTTTTACCATGTGCGGACACAGTGAAAAGGCTATGAACCAGAAAGAGGGCTTTCACTAGAACATGACCATGCTTGCACCTTGATCTTGGACTCCTCTGCTTCTAGAACTATGAGAAATAAATTTCTATTGTTGATAAGCTACTGGGTCTGTGGCATGTTGTTATAGCAGCCTTAACTGACTAAGACAGCTTGACATGCTGGTAATCAGAGACTAAGAGGGGAGAAAAAAAGTTGCTAACTAAACTCATCCGTTTAGAATAGTATTGGCAAAATGGCTGAAGTTCTAGTCAATATTCACTGTTTAGATGTAGAAAAAAAAAATCACAAGCAGAGTGAGCAGTTCCATCTAGAGTTTGCATGATGGTAGGCTGTTATTGAAGCCACGGAGATTATCAAACCAATGCTGCATAACCTCCCTAGTACTCCCTAGCACAGAAATGACACAAGAGTATTATAAAACAAAGGAATTATTTTCCCACCCCACACCAAAAAATTCTTAGCAAATTCTCTCTCTCTTCTATTCTCTAATCTCTAGAATTTGAGACTTCTTTATTAAAGCATGCTCAGGGCAATGTCTTGTATTGAGTTTATGCCTAATAAAGCTGATTTGATTTTTGATCACGAATAATGGCAGAAGGTTGATGGCGGGGGAGCATGGAGTAGGACTTTTTTTTAATGTGTCTGGTTTCCCTATAAAAACTATATATAAAAATACTGAATCTATACAAAAGAATGATTTTGATGAAGCCATGAAAATATGTCATACTCCTAAGAAGAGAATACTAGCTCAAAACAAGGTTATAAAAAAAATAATTGCAAGATGTATTGGTTTTGTTTACAATTGGTTATTTTTAAGTCAGAAAATTTTCTTACTGTATATCATTAAATTAATAACTTAATTATGTAGTATTATAATCTGTGCATTTACTTTTACTGTAAAAAATTTCAAATATACATGAAATTAATAAGAATAGTATATACCCATCAACAGTCAACAATTATAATATTTGGCATACTTGTTTAGCTATTTTCAGAGATATAGTCTTAGCAGCTGATGGTCATTGGGCTCATTTGTGCTTTATCACCATTAAAATACATTTTTAAATGTAGTGAACATTGCCTTTGAATGCTAAATTTCACTTTGGTAGTAAATGTTTATTAACATTATTAAAAGTGAGGACCTCAGTATAGGTAAACTTCCATTACAAAAAACTTCAATGAGAACTATACTTTTGTTTTCCTGTATAGTGACTATTGCTTGAAATAAGGGGCTTTCGATTGAAATATGAAAACATTGAACTTGCATAGAGTTTTTTGAGGGCCATCATAATAGATATCTGACATTTAGTAAATGGTACATGTATGATGTGCCAAGCACTATAATAGGAGCTTTACAAGAACCCTTCTTCAAACAACCTTATTAGATATTCTTATTATCTTCTACAGATTAGGATGCTGAGGCTGAGAGACATGAACTCAATTAAGTGTCCAGAGCCATCCAACAAGTATTAGGCATAGTCCTATTTGTTTAAAATATATTTAATTTCTATAAATGATGTTTTAAATTATTAAAGAATTTTATCCTTACCACTAATAATCAATAAATGGTATATAATAAGCATAACATTTTATACAGTCATTATTTAAATTTAAAAATATCTGCATAAACAGACAAAAGTACTAAAATAACAACCAGACGACGTAATAAGTAGCCCACACAGTTCCCCAGGACCAAGGGCATAGGAGCAGAGCAGCCTCTCAAAATAAAAAAAAGAACTCGGGAATTTAGAGATTTATTAAAGAGTCTTGAGTTTTAAGTCCACGTTTTGCAGTTTCTGTATACAAAAAATGAAAGAAATATTTCATTCAACTAGCTTTATTTTTAAGATGATAATTCATAAATTTGTTCTATAAACAAAAAAAAAAATAGTGACTTACGTGTCAACTGAAATAAGTTTCTTTTCCCCATTGTCAGAAGCATAGTTCCAAGTTGTTTCAATAATTCCAATATAATAATGCTTATCTTTTGCCCGGGCTGTAATATTATATAAAAATAGAAAAGTACCCAGTAACAAAATCTTCATTTTTTTTTTCTTGTTGGAGCCGAGAAGTGATGAACTGAAATCAGAAGCAGGCAATTTCAAAAATAAGGCTTTCTTCTTTTATTTGCTTGATTGACACAACTTACTGTTGCATAAGAGTAAATTGTTTCGTTAAAGTAAATAACATTTTCCACTTCAGTTCAGTTCCCGTAAACCCAGGGAAAAAAATGGTTTTCCGTTGCCAAGCTTCCCTGATTACAAATAAAAAGTCAGCAGTTATTGCTGGAGGGATTAGAGTATAAGTAACTCTGTGCCTCTTCCGTTCATTTTGTAAATTCCAGTAAAGCAGAGATCATCTCTAAATGCTTCTTTTGTTCCTCCGACAATATGCCATAGTACAATGCCCTGCACACGGTGAACTTTTAACAAAATAGTTTAACAGATTATGCAAAGTAGATCAAAACATGCAGCTCTTTACTTTCGAAAAAATCTAACAATATTTCATTATAATTTTAAGATACAAAACATGATCTTGAGCATACCAAATTTAAGTACCCAAAACTAAAAATTTTATTTTGAAGAATTTATCTATTTTGTAAGCGTTGGACACATTTAAAGAAACTGTACCAGATAATTCTGTATTGCTATATGCAAATCACTAGGAGAACATAATAGAGGTTGATAATTCTCTTTTAATTATCAAAGAAATCAGACATAAATCAACCTGTCTTCAAAAGCAAAGGTTGATCTTAGTAAATATTAGAAAGTTTATTAAACTGGGATTCTGCTTTTTGATGTGGACATGAATTTTAGGGTAAAAGACTTTTTATTAAAACCATATCTTTAGTCATGACATATTTACCTAAAAATATAAAGTAATCTTTTTTTTTTTTTGGTGGAAGAAAATCTTTATACTGATAGTGCACATTTTGTGCTAATATAATCTTTTTCTCTAGAATACCTTAATGCACTATTATTTGCCAAAAGTTTTTTATAGAAATAGATTGTTATTGGAGAAAGCACCCTAATGTTTGAACAATTTATTAATTTAATTAGTATTACTGAGGAAGCCCACTGTGCCCAGCCCTGTGCTAAGCACTGGAGATACAAAAGTGAATAGAAGACACAAATCTCTACCCGAATGAAATACCTAGTTTTAGCTGCAAGTGCTATGGAGAAAAATACAACAGGGAAGAAGAGTAATGAAAACAGCAGATAAAGATCAAAATCTGATGGCACCACTTGACCTCAGGCAGATACTTAACCCCAGCCTCAATTTCCTCATCTATAAGTGTCAGTCTCAGAGGGCTATTGTCCAGATTCATTGAAATAATCCATGTTAAGGTATATAGTAGAGATGCCCCTCTCAACAGCTAGTAATAATCTTAACTAATTGTCCTGATACAGAAAACTTAGTCGCAGGACCCAAGATGTCCCAAGACCTCCTTCTGGAGCCACCTCAAGTGATTGTGCCCTCTTGTCCACTGAGAGGACTTGAGTGGGGCCAAAATCTTGCCCAGACTCCAATAGCCAAACTCTGTGCCTGGCAAGGTGTTGTTCCTTTTAAAAGCTGGTCCACACCGAGAGGGCAGGTTTCAACAATCCATCCTCTCGGGGGAATGTTTTCTAATTGACACAAAGCTGCCAAGTGAGCAGCATCTTTGGGGCATTTCCTTTCTCATTCTCTGCTCCATGCTCAAACTCAGCTCTGCGGGTTGAAAGGATGGTGATCAGAGCACAACAATTCTTGAAGTCACTTCTAAGAAATTCTACCCTAAAAACCTGTTCAGATAGTTCCCGAGTGCTCCAGATTGTATATTTACAGCAGCCCCTGTACTGGTAGTGAAATAAAATGGTTAAACAGTAACACCCCTGACCAGCGCAAGTGAACATTTTATGGTGTCATGAAGGAAAGGTCATGAAGTCCATACTTCTGTCTTGTTTTGTGACAGTTACCCTTCCCATTAAAAAACATGTAGCTGCTGTGTGGCAGGAAATAAGGAGAATGCTCTGAGCCTCAGGCCTGTCTAAATACAAGGGAGAGGCCAGAGAGGTCTAATGAGCAACCAGCCATTGACAGAGTCTTCCTAACAGCAATTCCAGAGTTGATACCTAAAAGTGGATTTTGAATAATGTTGCTATTGAGAGTTTCTGCATTCAAAACATGCATCACAACCAGTACAGATTGAGGTGAGACAAGAAAGCAAGGGGCCCATCAGGAGAGGCTCAGCAGACTTAGAGCATTGAAAGAAATAGAAGAGAGGAATCTAGATTGGACCAAACAGCCTGTCCCTCTTGGCTGAATCTGTCAGAAGGTCTTTACATCAGAATCCCAGGTATATCTTTAAAATTTGTCATAATTATTACATTCTCAAGTTAATTGTTTAGTAATCTAAGTTACATAGCACAAGTTTTGTTTTCCACAATTTCTCTTTTTGTCATCTTAAGGATTCCTGGACTGAGTGAATCTCATCTGCATTAAGATTTTGGGACTGATGATGGTTAAAATTAAGGATGCTTACAGAACTGCTTAGAGAATATTGCTTCAGCTCTATTTCTGCCTGGCAAGATGCAAACTCTCCTTACCTTTACTATGCCTGCTATACTCTCTAGTTTCTTATTGATTCATGAGAACTGACTTTTAACTTCTCCTCCATGGCATCAGAATTATTAAGAAACAAATCACCAAGGACAGTCTTTCACTTTGTGGCAGAGAGAGACACAAAATATAAAATAGCAGGTCATTTTGTCCATGACCAGCCAGACCATCACAATGCTATCTTTTCCACAGAATACTGTGTAACTCTTGAATTTTATTGGTGACTATGGTCACGTACAGAACTTTGATAATGAGTCCAATGACTTGACCTCGCACATTGCGAGCATGGCTGATCCTCTTCTCTGCTATTGGCCAGTTCATGACTATTTAGGGAATGATGACACAGATAGGTAGGTTTTTGGCGGCTCCATCCACTTTGACTGCCCATGAGTGGGTCAAGGCCCTGCTCATCATTTTTCTGGCATGTAAAAGGGTCATAGGGGAAGGGAGAAAGCTTAGTCTCTAATCTAGCAAAAGCCTTGACATCTACAGTATTATGGGAAAGGGGATTTTTTTTTAATGGGAGAAATTTCAATTACTCCATCCTTTTCATCCTTTCATAACATTGAATGAAGTAGAAGTCAAACCATGTGATTTATTAACAATGAAAGAGACACAATACTAAAATTATTTTTACAAAAGATTAAAGACTAACATTCACAAAGCTTGATTATGTAGAATTTCAGTGTATGACTTTCTTGAAGCATTTTCCTCCCTTGTCATTCCTAACTTCATTACCTCTCGCTTCTATACCGTTCTAGGGTAATAAAGGCTGCTAGTGTTTAACACTTTGATTTGTGCCCAGGTCTTAATTTCTAAAAGGTGACTAAGTCATGACATGAAGAGGCTAATGCCATTGCAAGAAAAGTTTGTTATCACTCACAGTTCCCCTAGAAAGCAACATACAGGTTGGGCCACATAAGGAAGCACCAGAGTTTTGTTTTGTTTTTGTTTTAGGAGGTCGAAGTAGGAGCCAGGGGAAAGTACAGGCCACAGCCTTTATTGGGGTTTCTGTGGGAAAGACAAAGCAGAGCTGAGTAAACAGCTTAGGACTGGCTGGTTTGAATAATTCCAGCAGGCTTTGGGACATAGAGATTGTCTCTAGTTGTCTGAAATGGCTTTGGTTGATTTAGGGCAGGGGAAATATTGGCTTGGTGTGTGAGAGTTAGACAAAGGAAGTGGTTGGGGATATGGACTCCGGAATTGGTTGTTTTGCATATGAAAGTAGCAAGTTGTTTACCATCTTCTAGGAATTAACTAGTTCCGGGAGGGGCAGTCTCTCCCCAATTAGTAAACGCGACTCCAAGATGTCAAAGTATCATAAAATATTAAAAATTAAAAACATGATTAATACATATTTCATATCAGAATTATCTGTTTATGTGACTGTTTCCTCGATTAGACTGGGCCTCTATGGGGCCAATGACTATGTCTTGTTTCGTATTGACTCGCAGGCACTTAGCATAGTACTTGACACATAGTTTAATAAATACTGAAGGAATGAATAAATGTTAACTATAATAACAGTCACTAATAGTTATCAGATGACTACTATATGCCAGCACAGTGCCAAATTCTTTATAAATTTTATTTCATTTAATCCTCATGACGACCAATTAGATAGATGTATTAGTTATTTTTATTACTGCTATAACAAATTGCCATAAAGTTAGTGGCTTAAAACAACATAAATTTATTACCTTATAGTTCTGTATGTCAGAAATATGACACGTGTCACTGGACTAAAATTAAGGTGTCACTGAGACTGCCTTTCTTTTTGGTGGCTCTTTCCTGATCCATTCCAGTTTGCAGGGGCTGCCCACGGTCTTTGGCTCATGGCCCCCTCCCATCTTCAAAGCCGATAATAGCAACAACAGAGGCTTTCGAACATTAACTCATTGTGACCTTCTCTTCTGCCTCTCTCTTCTACTATTAAGGACACTGGTGATAATCTAGGATAATCCATTTTAAGGTTAGTTGATTAGCAACCATAATTCCATCTGAAATTTAATTCACCTTTGCCATTTAGGATAACATACTCATGCTTTAGGGATTAAGATGTGGCTATTTTGTGTGTGTGTGGCGGTTGTGGCGGGGGGGGGGGGGACAGGGGCATTTAATTTGCCATAGAATAGCACAAAAGGTATTATTATTATTATTATCTTTATTTTACAGATGAGGAAACTATGGTTAAGAGAGATTTTATACCTTGGCCAAGACCCCATAGTTAGTGAGTAGAGTAGCTGGAATTCAAGTACAGGCCTGCCTGACCCAGACATGCTTTGTGCTCTTGAGGGCATTAGAGCACAGCTCCAGACTGTCTTAGGCTGGGCCTCCCAGGCTCTATGTGCTTTGGAAGGATTCTATTCCAGGTTTGCTTGTCTGTTGGTGAATTCAGAACTTTCGTTTTGTCAGTTCACATAAAGATGACTAGGTTTAGAGATCTGATTGATTGCAAACCAACTTGGAGAATAAATATGGTAATTTATTCATTTAAAAGTAAAGAAAGATGGGCATATATTGT